TGCATAAAGTTTGGTTCCTCTCTGTTATTAAATGCATTTGAGACAGAGATTGAAGATCAGTCTATTTTTCTTCCACATCAGATAAGAGGCCCTTGTTTCCCTTCTAAAAATTGAAATGGCAGCTGTTTTGGCAGCTGCATTGCCATGTAAACAAGATACCGTTTTCAAGTTTCCACATATTTATCATATTACAGGCTCTGGGAGACTGAATCAATAAAACAAAAACTCTAAGTAGAGGTTGAGTGGGTTAGACTACCAACAAGGAGATGTGTTGTAATCCTAGCTCAAAAAAGTCTAGGGCAATAAGGAATTCAAACAATATAATTAAAGCACTGTTTCCTTCACAAACAGGAAATTGGTATTTACATAGAATATAATAAATATATATAACTAACTGAATATTTAAATAAATTATTAGAAATCACTTATATTTTTAACTTATTTTCAAAAAAAGGCAACAATAAAGATATTTATTAAGCAAAATGACTAACATAAAATGCACTCAGTTTCAAAATGCTTTTAACAGGACAAAATTGTAAAAGAGAGTAATAGCTATCTGCATTTTCTTTCATAAATGATTAGTCATTGACTCCCTTTCTTCTTGCATTGATAGAAAATTGGTCTAAAGAGAAAATACTTGAGAAAATACTCAAGTGAAAAAGCAGAGGGGGGAATATAATCTCTTTTTGCTAGGCTAGATATTATGTGTTTTGCAGGGTATTTTGTTTTCAAGCCCTTTACATCTGAGCATGACTGTGTTTGATGTAGCTTATGATTGCAGAGACATTAATTTCTTGTAAAGTCAACCAGGTGAATGCTGCAACACAATATTTCACCTTAGGCATGTGGACAGCCTCACTAATTCTAATGCTGTTCACTTTTGCTTCCTTTTTAAGTATCTAAAATTTAGCATAGTTTTATTTTTTTATTTTTTTTTTTCTGGATAGATAAGTATGTTTTGTTCTTCTGCCATACTAGATAGCTTTTGCGTTCTCCATATGCTGTAGATTTTGCAGTAAACTATGGTTTAGATGTCCCTGAGAGATTCCAAATTTTGCTTAATGTCTTCATTTTTAAAGTACACTAGGTTATTAAAAAGCGAGATGTAGAGGGCTTTCAGAAAGCCATAAAATTTGTAAAAATGGACCACTGAGAATTTAGTCTGAAGTCTAGTGATTCCAATATTTCCATGATAAAGGTAGTTGGGAAACATTCAGACCATGTGAAGTTTGCTTTGTTTTGGATTTATTGGAAATGCAGTCTTTTGTAATCCAAGAAAGTAATCCAAAACACTTATTCACAAGCATAACCTATCTTATATGTAGTCAGTGTTGATGTTTTGGACCACAAAGTTTCCTAGTTCTACATATGCAGATACAAACAAACATATGCTGCCTATCTAACTTAATGATGTCCTTGGAAAATCTTGCCTTTATGTTCCTTTTGAAACTGGGAAGATGCATAGCTGCATACTAGATCCATTTTTTTTAGACTATGTTCTGTCCTTGGGGAAGAGATACAGATATATCTCATGGTCACTTTTAAAGAAAATGTGGCAGTTGTCTGAGGCCACTCGGATGTGTGTTTACTTTCAAAGATCCAAAGGGATGTGGGAATACAGAGCAAAAAATAATGCAAAGTGGGATGGGTACAAGTGCATAACTCAGCTGTCTCAGATGATACCTAGAAAAGTGGCATAAACATATGTGTGTGTTTGTATAAGTGTATGTATAGCACTTGCAAACAATCACATACCAATACACGCACGCACACATATGTTTATATGCATATCTACAAGCTTCTAAAATATTTTTGCTGGGTGTGTGGCAAAAACAAACAAACAAACAAACAAAAATTTTCTTGCCTATAGCACTGAATGTCTAAGGCCAGGCCTGACTGCAAAGACAGTTAGCATCAAATGATGGCTTCTTGTGCAAGGACTGTACCACAGCATGTTTAACGTTCATTGGCAGTTTGCCCTACCCTAAGGCAATAGTAAAATATGTTCTTTAGCATTCAAACAAATAAAATTAATCAAGGGATTCATGCAAAAGGGATGTGAATCGGGAAAAAGAAAATAATAATAAAAACAGAGGGGTCTTTTAGCCATACCAGAAGAAAGAAATGTTGAATTCTTTTAGACGTAGGACAGAGAAATTGAAACAGGTGTCAGAGGCAAGCAAAGTCTGCAGGCAGTGCTTAAATGTTGTATGTGCCAATGCTGAAGTAAGCCACTGGTGACAGGATCCCTACATGGGTGGTCAGGCAGATACCTATCAGCCCAGAGCTGAAACATACCCAGAACATGAATTTTGACTGCATCTAAACTGAGCTGCAGGTGTGCACCGCAGTATGCCCTAAACCAGAAATCTGGTCAAAGCATGTGATGGCTGCCATCCAGACAGCACTCCCAGTTAGCCATCCTATAGAAAATAGATTAAAGGGAGAAGTCTTGCTCTGGTTTGGAGGCAAGGCCTTCATCCAGACCCATGAGCTCCAAGCTCTGAAGTGTTTCTTCTCCTTCTAATTTAGGCTGCAGCCTCTAAGTTTTCAAGTACCCACCATACTTCCTGTCTATTTGCTAATTTGTATAATAATAACAATCATACCAATTTTGGGGGTGGAGTAATAGCTCAACAGCTGCTAGCGTAAACACATAAATGTTTTTGCCTTTCTAGAAAACAAGTCATATGTTACAGAAGCAATTCAGTAAACAGTTTAGGCAGCAAATGTGACTTTCAGTATCCCATTAAAATCCATTAAAAATCAGGGGAAATCCTAATCAACTTTGCACTTGGTATATGCTAAGCACCTAGCAGGCCAGGCAAAAGGCTGTCTATATACTCTGCTGTTGTGAAGTTATAAATACCACCTTGGATCCAGACTGAGTGACCTGAATGTCTGGACACACTAGTTTTCTACAGCAAACTGCATCTGCCTGTAGATAGTTTGCTAAGCTGATAGGAGAAGAGGATCCAGACTTAGCCATTTCATCTTGGAGATTGATATGTCCTTCATCCCCCAAATCACCAGAGGCTGCAACAGTGAAACACATAATATTGTTATACCACCCAGCATCTGAAATGTTTCTTTCATACTGGAAAAAGTCAAACCCACTGACATATGAGGAAGTCCTGAAAGAAGAAGAAAAAAAAAAAAAAAAGACGGTGAAAGTTTCTAATTGTTGCAGCTCATTCTTGCTAAATTTTGTGTGTGTAAATGAACCTTTTTTCCTTATTTAACCATATTTGCTAAGATTGATGTCAAACACTAAATTTACTGTTTTGAACCTGGATGAATTTTAAGTTTCTTAACATTCTGGGATAGAGATTTGCACCTACTTGGCAGAAGTTTTAGATGTGTGACTAAATCGCTGTCACATCAGAAGCTAAAAATAAGAACCGTAATTTTCATAGATTTAAGGCAGCTCTGATTTAAGCCTGTGACTAGTATTTGGTCTCCTCTTCCGTGTGATTCCTTCTGTCAATCAAGCCAAAAGTTTTCTGAGGACAGAGAGAAGCAGCTGCAGATTGAATAGGAGCTCTGAGTAGCTCATCAGCACAGCTGTTCCCCTACATTTGTTTCCAAAGCAAAAAGTCTTTTGTGTTTATATTAGGTAAGGAAATGTACTATTTGTGCCTACAACAGTTTTCATTAAAACTTCTGAAAGGCAAAGAAGGCAAAAAATATACTTAGGGAATGTATTTGTATAGGAGATGAGCTCTGGATAAGGAGTTAATAGATTTTGATTATATTTGCTTTAGTAACAGCTTTTGATAGAAACATAGATTTAATTTGGTTAGACTATTAACATTGTTGATTATTTTAGTACTGTACTGTTAGTAAAGTGAATTGTGGCCTCTCTTTCTCTCTTCCTCTCACTTTCTCCGTTTCTCTCTTTCTCTCTTTCTTTCTTTTTCTCTTTCTTTCTCTTTCTTTCCCTCTTTCTCTTTCTTTCCCTCTTTCTCTTTCTTTCTTTATCTTCCTTCATCTTCCTTCCTTCCTTCCTTCCTTCCTTCCTTCCTTCCTTCCTTCCTTCCTTCCTTCCTTCCTTCCTTCCTTCCTTCCTTCCTTCCTTCCTTCCTTCACCCCTCCCTATTTCCCCCCTCCCTTCCCCCCTCCCTTCCCTTCATCCCCATCCTCATTTCTTCCTCTCTTTTCTCTCCCCTGCTTCTTTCCCTTTTCCATCCTGCTTTCTCAAAAGGAATTGCATAAAACAGCTACAATTAGAGAAACAACATCCGTATTTATAAATTAACATATAAATTCAGGGAAAATGTGGTTTAGTTCTCTTCACATGAGAATGACATTGACTTTAAAAAAAAACAGCAATATTACATTGCCAAAGTTATGAGACATCCTTACTCTGACATTCAGGGAAAACTGATTACTCCATCATCTTCATGAAGAGACTCCTAGTTTAAGGAGAGGAACATTAAAAATTCCTTTTGCAGGAGAGCAATTTTTCTGACACTGTAAAAAAGAGATCATCCTCTGATTTCTAACTGTGCCAAGAAGACTATGATTTGCCTTGATTTTGTGTTGATTTTGCTCACATAAATGCTTCATTGCTTGTCTAATAAGATTAACTAATGTGATCTGTGTTTTGAACTATTTTATAGCTAGATTTTAAAACAGAAAGACCTGTGAACAAAATCTGCACACCATAGAAGACAAAGTAGATCATGTCAAAGTATGTGAAAAATCACAGTTTTTATTTTAAAAAATACATACATAAATCAGCAGTTTTCTTTTTGTCTTTGTACATATAGATCCAGTGGTTCATAAAATGCCTGACCCAAAACCACTGAAATCAATGAAAGTTTCTGTTGACTTCCAAAGGCTTTGGACCAAACCCAGTGTACACATTCATGGCTTCAAAGTAAGAGACCCATTAAAAAATGTAGTTCTTGCTGTCTAACACTGCAGTCTTTTGTGTTTTCATTATAACAATTGCAACAGAAGTTCTTTGTGCCAGATGTTGGGTCACTCACGAAAAACATCTGTTACCAGCACGCAAAACCTGACTGGATCAGGGCCATTAGGAAAAATAAACAAAAATACATTCTTTGTTTTCTTTACAAGACTTATTGTAATTCTCTCAAGAACATGATCTTTCCCCACAGGAGTAAGATTTTAAGAGTCATATACAAAAAAAAAAAAAAAACTGAAGACATTAGATCAGTGCCAGAGAGAGTGTTCCTGGAAACTTCGAGAGTCATTTGGATCTAGCCTGAAACAACGCAGGGAACCAGCTTCCCTCTTCTCTGACCTTAAATTTATCTTTTCCCTGCTGTCTGAGGTAAGACACCAGCTTCAGTATTATTTGGGACACACAATTCTTTTTTCCTCCTCTTACCATTTCTCCTCCTTAGCAGGCCATTTGGACTGGGATATTTCAAGCTGCTTAGATTGTTAAATGTTTAGTGAGCAGTTCAGTTGGTCTTTTAGGAAAAAGCCATGTGTCAAGTCTATTTTCAAAGCCTAGCAGCCAAAGTTCACACAAGGTAGTCATGTACCCCAGCAGTCAGGAATCAGTCTCAGAGGATTTGCTTTTGGCAGAGAGTATTTAATGGTGGTTTGTGCTAGCGGGAGAGCTGTGACCTGGGACACAGACCGGAGGTCTTCTCTCTGGGAAGGGTCATGTGCTATGCTGAAATCTTGGGGCTATGCCCAGCCATTCTTAGTAGCTGAGCTCACATTTGCAGAAGACCTCAGAAAGGAACTCCCACAAGTATACAGACCAACCGAGGGAGAGAAACTAGTTTGCCTGTGAAGGAGTACAGCTATTGTGCTACTAAAATATCTTTAAAGTGGTGAAGGAAGGTAGAAAGTTCAAAAACAATGGCGATTACACAGACTGTGATTTCAGCAACAAGCCCAGTGCCTAAGATAAAATCCATTATGATCAGTGGTATTGATGGAATACGGCCAAGGACTCCAGTAGTTTTGGGATTACGCCTATTGAGGAACAGAAGGAATATAAAGGACTCAGCAGAAATTTTCATATAAAATATTGGGAGGAGAATGTGGAATATGGTGAAAGTTAAAATTTTTCAAAATGTATATTTCTAGTCATACAATTAAAGATGTTAAAACCTTAAAAGAGTCAACATTTTAATGTTAACCCCTTATTTTAACCTTATTTTACCCAACCTATATTTGGTCATGACATTTTTCTTGCAAGTCCTCTCCTCTACCCATCTTGTTTTTTTAATAAAGATCTTGAGTTTGTTCTGGCACAAAGAAAGGAAAATTGACCCCAAAGGTACTAGCTGCCTAGTCTTCTTGTTGGTCCTATACACACAGGTAGCAGATAGGTAGAAGTGTAATTGCTGTTCAGAACTGTAGGACAGAGGAGATTTAGGGGAATATCAACCCATTCCTCTTTGGATGTGCATTTGCCTGTGGAACACAAAGCACATACTACTCACAAAGCAGGCTGCAGATGTCAGACCTATATTTTTCATGATCTGCTTCAATATTTTTCTCCATAAAGACCTCCAGGATGGTACTGTGAATCTCGTTACTGAATTTTGCTTTTGCTTGCTGACACTGGCTCGATACTATTACCCAGCCTGGAAGGTCCTGGTCATATAAGGGAAGGAAATGCAGACAGTCACAAACCTCATCCTCCTGGAATGAAACAAAAACATGCTTCTCCTGGAACACCTGTTACTGGTTTAAAAGTCTGTTTATACTTAGCCTTAAGACAAGCTGAAACTCAAAGAAGGGTGGAGTTTGAGAAGAAAAAGACAGCTGAAAAAGATCTGTCCTGCACAGGGTAAGGATTTCTAATTTGCAAAAAAACAGAACTCAGACAACACTGTCTATTGGTGTCTTGATGGGGCGACTGGAAACTGGACCATAGAATATAACTTTTGTCTAATGTCAAGCCAACTGCCCAACAGGTGTAAATTCCTATAAATTACTGGAGCCATCCTTCTATATGTTGTGTTGCTCTGTGTTGTGGGGCATACAGTCAAGCCTTAGTATGGACTTTCAAAAGGAGGCTAGAAATTTTTTTATGACCTGCTTCCTGTTTTAGACATCTTGCCATCACTGTTTCAGACAAAAACTGACTAGTCTGAATTACCTACTTTGACCTCATTTGGTCACCCTTTACCTCCTGCATGCTTATCCTCATGTCATTCACTGCCTGCTGTTCTCATCCTTCCCACTCATAATTAAGTGCATGAGATACAACTCCAAAGAGCAAAGCTGATCTTATATCAGCCAGTACATGCAATGGCCTGGCAGCTGCATGACCAAATATTTACCTTGCTTCCTGGACTAACCCTGACAAGTCTTCTGCATAACCCCCTTTGAAACAAAGGCATATATGCTGACTGTAACCTGTACACATGCCCTAGTTGAGTGCAAGCTGTCAGAAGTTAGTCATTCTGTTTTGGAAGAACAATCATTACTTAAACCTACAATATGTTGAGCTTACTGTTCTAATAATGCACATTTGCATACACCTGCACAAGAATGTCTGCTACTGGATAGTTTTGAAAAGATCATTGGTGATGGAAATGTTTGACCTGTGCTCACTTCTGCTAAGCAACTCTTTTATTTTCTCCTGAGCGTTGGCTGTTCTGCCTTGAACATACTTTAAGAACTAAGAATTGTAACAAACGGCTGGTCTTCTCCACCATATGAAAGTTTCTTGGAATCTCTTGACAGCCTTGGACTATCTATTTCTGATGCATATGAAATAGCAGAGCAGAAATTACCTTTTTACTTATTTATTTATTTATTTATTTATTTATTTTATTTTCCCTTAACCTAGGATGCATTTTTCCCCTGAGAAATTCCAGAGCCCAGATAACAAGGTTAGTCTTCTGTGCACCCTGGATGAAATGGATAAAAATTAATTTTAACAGGACTTTGGATCCGTATTTAAAAAGGAGAGGAGCATGATATGGCTGCTATCTCACCAGGCTAAAGGTAATATAGAGAATAAAACTTAAAGACAAAACACTGGATCATGATCATTTCCAAGGAAAAACAGATTGCAAAGATTTACTTTTCCTGGTAGGTATTGTAAAACACCTGTATGGTATTGTACAGCCCAACCAACAGTTTAGATATTACTGATGCCCTAAATCATAAGGATGGGGACAGAAGTCAGAGGGGAAAAATATCATAAATCAAGCACATCACTATGGCTTATACGTAAGTATGTTTCAGTGAACATTTAGACAGTGAATGATTTTATTTATTTATTTACTTATTTTCCATTATAATATTTGCAGAAAAGTATTCAAACATTTGAAATCTCTTTTATTGCATGGTGAGCTCTAACAGCTAAGTCAAATCTTAAATGTTTGATACCACCTAGCTCATGCTGAACAAATATATGGCTCCTCAAGACTAAAGCAGGATACAGGAATTAACTTTCAAACAGATGTTACAAGCAGGTGGACTACAAATTTAGTGTTGGGAAATGAACAAATTGCTGTATTTCTTTTAGCTGAAAAACTACACCTCTCATTGTAAGGCTGCTGTGCTGTGTTTTTATTATATTTAGGAGTAGTGTCAGATGTTGTTAGTGAGAAGCAAACACCTGTTCCCTTTGGCTTGACCCAGTACTTGCTGAACTCAGGAGAAAACCTCCCACTGATTTCAAGTCACTATCAGTATAAATAGGATTTTTAACAGTTTGAATGGCAACATTTAATAATTGCACTGTTGTTGTTGCTACCTCATATTAATGCCAATAAATTGATGCACAGAGTTTTTCAGTGCTGTCATTAAGCACCATAAACATTTTTAGGGTTACCAGTTATAAGAAACACACCCACATTGCTGGCTAAGTAGCATATTTTGGCACTGCTGATCAGATAAATATTTTATTTAAAAGTATAACAGGTTTACTAGCAGCAAAAAGGTTGAAAGAGGCTTTGGATTAATTGAGGTATTAAATATTGCTGAGGTGATGACTCATTACACCCTTTCTGGCACAAAATATGTATCAGGAAAACATATGCTCATGTTTTGAAAGCCTTGCAAAAACCTCACAGGAATGTCAGGCCTCTTTTGATGAGATCATTTTCTTCATGCTAAGTACATAGAAGTACTAAGTGCAAGTGTAAGGAGCTGATATCAGTCCTGTAGAGGATTTAGTCAGGGCACAGCTGGCAAAAACATCTATTTGGTATAGTCTGGTTAAACTTTGGTTTTAATTTTGAGATGAGTTCGGAAACAGCTCTATAAAAGATGATGAAATAAAACCATATCAGACTGCTGAACAGCACAGATAGAGCCTACAAAAAAAAAAAAAAAAAAAAAAAAAAGATTGCTCTTTAATTCTGTACTACAGCAGTGCCAAAATACATTGTTCAAAGCTAAAAACTATATTTAGGTTTATGGCAGCTATGGGACCCCTTTTTGTCTGTGACTACAAAAAATGACAGAGCCCCAGCCTCAGTAGAGCTCTTTTTAACATCTGTAAAAGTATACACAGAAAAACTTAGCACAAAACTCATATTAACAAAGAAAAAAAATGTTTTTCAAATTGTCTGTTTTAACCTATTTGTATAAATGATGATGAATAAATATGGCAAAATCTCCACCAAACAAAATCACCTCTGGTCTCCTCAAATGGCTTCCTACATACTGAAGATTCATTAAAATGAAAGTTGTAATCCACACATTCTAACTCTTAATTGGCATGTGTAAGCCTAGGCAGAGTTTTATTACATGAGTTCAGAGGCAGGTTATATTGTACCTCATTGTCCCTAGCTTTGATGATCTTGATTATTGTTGCACATTATAATAATTCTATGATTAAGAGACTGGAATTATCTACTAAGTATTGCTCAGGGCATGACAGGATAAAAATGGGAGGATGTCTTTTAAATAGACACTGATTAATAGTTTATTAAAGTATGAATAAGCAACTGCTAATAAGAACACGGACATGGTTTCCTTATGAATATGAACCAGTTAAATGAGTAACTCTTCTGTAAGTTTATACTTGGCAAGGCTTATTCATTAGTCTGCAACCAACTTCTTTTCTGCATTCAATGTAGAAGGTCTGATGAGTTAATGAAATGAGGGAAAATAAAAATACCACAGAGCAATTCAAGCAGTGAAAGCTAAATTATACTCTTGTATCTTCTGAGACCAAAATTTTTACTTGGTCACTTGCACTTTTTCCCACTGACGTCAATGGGCATAGCTAAAATGTATTAAAGTACAACTTAGCACTGGAAGTTATATTATGATATATTGCACTGATGCTTCAGAGTTGTTGATAAAATACTACAAAGTGCATATTGAAATATTTGTCTTTAAAAAGTAAGGCGGGTTAGACATTGCAAATGTGCATTACTGCCACAGCAAAAGATTTCAGTCGATGTTAACTTGTTAGCAAAATAGGCTGTGGTTCATGAGAGAGTTTTCATGTTTATTACAGTTTTGAGACACTGCCATATTTCATCATTTACAAAACCAGTGTGAAAACCTAATCCCACTGAAGTCTCAAAGAGATTTTGTACTGAGTTAAGTTGAGAATCTACTCAAGAATTACTGAGCTCACAGTCAGGTTATATGCCATAGTTTATTTGATTGTCATGAGAAACAGAGTCTGATTAGTTTATATTCAGGTTCTCCAAAAAACAATTGCAGAAGGATCCTTTTTCCTGTCAAGTACTAGTAATGGGAGACATGTTTCATATAATGCAGACCTTGGTCCAAGGTCAGTGTAAAATGAGAATATATATCTAGACCTTAGCATACATATATTCTTGAGAATTAAAGAAAACACCAAAACACAACCATTAATGACTGCTCCCAAATAGAAAACATTAAGGTGGACCAGCTGCCTTTGAAATGATTTGTCTAAGAGGATAAACCTAAGCCATCTGAAGTTCTGAAAAAATAAAGTTAATAAAAAGCCTTTGAGATTTCAGAATGTCATTAGCAACAATTTGTCCAGCAAATAAAAACAGATAAGTCAGGAATTTGGGGAAGAAAATGAAAAAGGAAATAAATAAAATCAAACCCTAAAATACATTCCTTCTTTGTGGTCCTTTTTATCTAGATATGTACAAAGGTCACTACTGTCTGAGCACATCTGAAGTATTTAAGAATAGATATAATAGCTTATATCTCTTCCTTCCTGTTCTCTAGACAAAACAATATAGGAATTTCCTACATAGGTAATTTTTTTCAGTTACAGAAAGATACATTCAAATCAGTACAGTAGCACTGTTTAACTTCTTACAAAGATTCTTTCCCTAAATATGAAAGATTTGTCTCCTTTTATTTTAAATTGCTTTCAAATAGACAGCTATTAACATGGAAAAAGGTGTCCTTATCCAGAATATAGTTTCAATAATTAAACAAACAAACAAACAAATAAAAACAAACAGTAATTTCTATTAATAATTTATCTTTTGCAATTTTGTTTTTGCAGACAGATAATAATCACATTGATACATTTTGTATTTGGTTATCTTTATTACATGCATGTGTGAACGTGACTACAGTGAAACACTTGCTCTGCATTTGTTAAAACTGTGCACTCATTCTTGTTTAAAAGATATTTAAAAATGTTCTAAAATTCACTTGTTAATTTTGAATATCTATATTTTCTGTGAGAGAAATGAATGGAATTTGTGCTCCAACTCTGGGACCATCTGGGACCAATAAGGTCTCCAAAATGTAGAAAAATTTTAGACACAGAAAAAATACAAACCTATAAAATATAACCTCTTGCATTCTTGGAGTTCAAACTCTGCTTATCTTTTTGTGGATCTCAGCCTTTCAGCAGTTGTGTCTGCCAACACATGATGGTCATTTTTACCTTTCACATTTTCTAATGTGAAAGGAAGATGATGCATTTCAGAATTGGCTGTAAGAACAGAACAGTACCTATGCAATGCAGTTGCAATAGATCTGCACACAAATTTTGATCATGGTGCAAGAGGACATGATGCTGTCACTATCCTTGACTAATACCTAAGTAATACTTAAGTATCACTATGATCAATACCACCACTGTTCAAATACTACCACTGACAGAATGTGAAAAAGATGTGTGGCAGTGTTTCTCTGCTTTACAGGGATAATTTACAGTAAGGAATATTCCTTCATAATTTGTATAACTAAATCAAAAAAAATAAGTTCTAATTACTAAGAGAACAATAATAGCTGTTCATGATCTTTAACGTACATTATGCATGATTTTTTATTGTGAGTAATTCTTACATGAACAATATAATTTATTGATGATTTAACACCGATTAGTCAGATCAACAGTAAAGGAAATTAGGATAAGGGTTTTTTTTTGTTTGTTTTTCTTTTTTCTTTTTTTTTTTTTTGGTGTGTGTGGGGGTGAGATTTAGATGTTCTTAAGATGAAAACATTCTTGAGTGAAGTTATATCATTTTAGATTCTTACGATTTTTTTCTGAACACAAAGCTAGAGAATGGCAGAGGTATAGTTTAACAGAGCTAAATTTACTGTGGTGTTTTTTTTTTTTTTAAATCTTTGTTTCTTCATGGCTGTTCTACTCTTTCATTTTAAATATTGGTTGTTGTTACACACACATTAAAAACAAACAAAAAAAAACCTTTTGTTTTTCATGCAGTAAGATTTTCATTAGCCAAGATTAATGACCTAAGTGACAATAAATTCAAATATATTTTTAGAAAGCAAAACTTCTAGGCCGATTTCCTAAACTTTTCTTTGGGTTCACTGAGATAAGGACATCTGGAGTTATTTTTCTTTTCTTTTCTTTTCTTTTCTTTTCTTTTCTTTTCTTTTTCTTTGCTGGCTTGGCGGGGAGGGGAGGGGAGGGTGGGGGCGGGGTGGGCGGGGGGCGGGGCGGGGCGTGGCGGGGAGGGAGGGGAGGGGCAGGGGCGTGGCGGGGAGGGGCGGGGGGAGTGGAGGGGCTGGGAGTGGGGGGTGGGGAGGGAGGGGAGGGGAGGGGGGGGCGGGGGGCGGGGGGGGGGGGGGGGAGTTTCTTTTCTTTTCTTTTCTTTTCTTTTCTTTTCTTTCTTTCTTTTTCCTTTCCTTCCTTTCCTTTCCTTTCCTTTCCTTTCCTTTCCTTTCCTTTCCTTTCCTTTCCTTTCCTTTCCTTTCCTTTCCTTTCCTTTCCTTCCTTTCCTTTCCTTTCCTTTCCTTTCCTTTCCTTTCCTTCCTTTCCTTTCCTTCCTTTCCTTTCCTTTCCTTTCTTTTTTCTTCTTTCTCTTCTCTTCTCTTCTCTCTCTTCTCTTCTCTTCTCTTCTCTTCCTCTTCTCTTCTCTTCTCTTCTTCTTCTCTTTCTCTTCTCTCTCTTCTCTTCTCTTCTCTTCTCTCTCTTCTCTTCTCTTCTTCTCTCTCTTCTCTTCTCTTCTCTTCTCTTTCTCTTCTCTTCTCTTCTCTCTCTCTTCTCTTCTCTTCTCTTCTCTTCTCTTCTCTTCTCTTCTCTTCTCTTCTCTTCTCTTCTCTTCTCTTCTCTTCTCTTCTTCTCTTCTCCCCATCCTATTTCCACTTAAATTTTATTTCTAGTTAGTTCTGATCCTTCCAGATTTATACATGCTTCACACTTGTTAGTTTTCTCTCCCACCTCCTAGCTTCATCGCTGTTCTTTCTAATTAAATTTCTCTCACTGCTCTCTTCTGTGTGAGTGATCAATATGTTCAAAATTTCCTATTAGTTGTACTGCTTCTTTATCATTGCTGATCTACTCACAAAAACATCTCGACTTTTAAATACAGCTCATGGAATTTTACTGAGCTTATGTGGTAGTAGTGAAGGACAGTACTTTGCAAATAACTTTCTTGCAACCAATGGCTTTCCTCAAGCTTTAGTAAATGAATCATGGGGATGTTCTAGTAGTGACTCAGAAATCATCCCATTTCATCACACAATTCATTTATATTTGATATTTAAGCTACAAACAAGAAATTTTCATTATGAAAAATCTTGGCCAAACAAAACAGAAGAAAATCCTTCCTAAGTCACTTGACAGGAATCTGGCATTCCTGACGTTAAATAAGTTCCTTCAAAATTATAAGTTTCTTCTTCTTATAACTCCCAAAGCACAAGCTGTATGAACAATATCTATATTTAGAAACAGTAGATACAATTTTTTGAAAAAAATGCCATAAAGAGAAAGAGATATATCAATTAGACAGCAGCTCTCACATTAAAAATCTTTTTTGGTAGTCTGCTTTGTAAACATCCTGTGCTTGCCACTTGTCCTATCATTGGACACTGGGAGAGTTGAGACGGTAAAAGTAAAAAAGTTGCATTTTTGGGACACAAGTTTGTGCCTTCAAGTTTTATATGTCCTCTAATTACAGTTGGTAGACCTTTTACTGTTGAAAAAAAGGTGTTTTGTTGTTGTTGTTGTTGTTGTTTGTTTGTTTTATTTTTTTTTTATTTTTTAAATTTTTTTTCCCCTGGGAATATTTTAAATTGATAAATAGTGTTTTATGGGATTGCTGTGCCCCCTGTGTAGGATCCAGCAATTAACCTTATTGAACTTCATATAGTATCTACCCTATCCACTCCATCCAGCCTATCCAGATTCCTCTGTGGAGCCTTCCTACCATCAAGCAGATCAACACTCCCACCCACCTTGGTGTCATCTGCAAACTTACTGAGGGTGTACTCGATCCCTTGGTGCCAACTCGATCTTCATTATACTGAAGAGAACTGGCCCCAGTACTGAGTGCTGGGGGACATCTTTTGCAACCACAACCTCCAGCTGGATTTAACTCTGTTCACCTCCTTGGGCCGGCCACACAGCCAGTTTTTTTATCCAGTGAAGCCTATGCCCATCCAAGCCTTGAGCATCCAGTTTCTCCAGAAGAATGCTGTGGGAAACAGTGTCAAAAGCTTTACTAAACTCTAGGTAGACAACATCCACAGCCTTTCCCTTATCCACTAAGCATGTTACCTTGTCATAGAAGGAGATCAGGTTAGTCCAGCAGGACCCGTCTTTCTTAAACCCTTGTTGACTGGACTTTCAAGACTGGACCTTGGCATTCAAGATGATCTGCTCCACGAGCTTCCCCAGCACTGAAGGATTGTGCACAGATCTAAAAAGAACATAGCATTCACTTTTCACAGGTTGTGAAATGGGAGAGCATTGATAGTTGCATTTAATAGGATGGTTGAAGAAAATCTCTGTACAGCTGTTCTAGGACTTTGTAACTCTCTGTAATTTTAAACATTAGAGTGCTCTGTACTCAAACCAGAGATAATTTCCTGAGTACTAGTTAGCTTATAAAATCTTAACCTGTTCCAAACCCAGTAATTTGAAGGCATACAAATTCCTGGAAGTTATTATCCTTCTTCCCATAAAAAGTACAAAACAACAACAGAAGTGAAGCTAATGGTTTAAATAAATGAATAAGGAAACCTCCCTTCCCCACATATCAAGCTGCGGTGAAAGTTCATGGTTCTATTTAACATTTTTGCAGCACATAAAGGATGGCAAGGTCATACTTTATTATATTTATTTTTTTTAAATAAATAAATATGGGCAGGCAGATTTGACAAGGAATGAATAAGAGACCTAAGAGACCTAAAATATTCAAAAAGAGCACTTGGAGACTAGTCTGGATGCTTTGGAGTGCATAAAATGGTAATAGATACATGCTTAGGTAATTAAATCTCAATCCTAGCTTTAGTGATGGGCACAACAAAAGTTCCAAATGATTCCCTAGCTTCTTTAAGTGGAAATCTAAGATCAGTCAGGCTGCAAATATAGCAATGCTTTTCTTCTCTGTGTTCAACTCAGTGTCTATGAGATCAAAGACTAAATGATTTGCTATCTAAATGGATAGCCAATGTGAAATTAGTGTCTTCTACTGTTATTTTTCTATTTGATAAATGTTTGTAATAAGCTTACAAAAAAAAAAATTCTGTTCACAGAGAGAATTTTTGTAGTCATCATTAATAGACTATAAAATGCATTAAAAATAAAAGAATAAGCAGAGTAATAGTAGCTTAGTGGCTAGTGATACAGTGATATTTGTGAAAGCAATTTATATTCACAAAATTTTGCAAAAACAATCTGTGAATGAGGTTACAGTGAAGTCTGTGAGCGCAGGAACAACATAAAATCAATATCCCATATTCTGTATGTAATATTACACTGATAACCAAGGCTGTTCAGAGGAAATGTTCCAGGCATATATTATCATGGCCCAGGATATATTACTATGACCCTATCTGACTAATCTTAAATGATGTAATGATGTCTTAGTCATCCATACCTGAAGCTACTGGTTTGGCAAAAATAACATGGAAGCACTGAGACCAGGTTGTTTTTAAGCAGGTATAAAACCAAAGACAGTTATTTGCCATCAACAAATACTGAAGTTAATAATGAAGACTAGGTACTTGAACTAGGACATCAGGACATCCTTTTTTTTTTTTTTTTTTTGAGTTAAAACCTTCAGAAGGGCTCAGACCAAACACACAGATTTATTTTACTGTTAAATTAGTTAAAATGAATGGACCTGAACTGTGCACATTCTAAGTTTAAGCAATGCAGACATACATATACCGTAAATGGGTGAAATTTTGCAACTCTCTCTTGCATGTGAAATCCATATTCCTTTAAATAGTTTTTTTTATATAAGCTTTAAATATATTTTTTATATAAATTATATATAGTTTTTTTATATAAGCTTTAAATAATTTTCTCATTGGGCCTGTATGTGTTAATAAAGTTCATACAATCAGGACTCCTGTGCTAACAATATAAGCACGCAAACGGTAAGGAGATGAGACATTTACATACATTACCGTGTCAGGCAAGCAAAATTCTCAGAACTGAAATGTGACATCACTCTATCAAAAGTACTGCCAACTCTAATTGCAGATCCATGTTAGGAAGTTGCTTTAAAAACTTGTACTTAATAACAGGTGGTTTTCTATGTAGACGTGTATCAGCACTTATATCTATTTTTGTGTACTAAAAATGTTTAATTTATGTAAAATCCAGCCTTAGTTACACAATATTAAAATGGTACATTTGACCAGTATGATACACTGTTCCTTTTCACAGGAATGGAGTTTGTTGCATATTTTGAAAAATGGGATGTATGGCAGTGTAAAAAATAAGTAGTTCTACAGCATATCTGTACCCCAGAACTTTTTTTAATTCTTTTCTTTTTTCTTTTCTTTTCTTTTCTTTTCTTTTCTTTTCTTTTCTTTTCTTTTCTTTTCTTTTCTTTTCTTTTCTTTTCTTTTCTTTTCTTTTCTTTTCTTTTCTCTTCTCTTCTCTTCTCTTCTCTTCTCTTCTCTTCTCTTCTCTTCTCTTCTCTTCTCTTCTCTTCTCTTCTCTTCTCTTCTCTTCTCTTCTCTTCTCTTCTCTTCTCTTCTCTTCTCTTTTTTTTTTTTTTTTTTTTTTTTTTTTTTTCCACAAACCAATTGTACTGCAGTGATGGGAGAGCAAAGTACAATGGTATGACTGACAAATTAAAACTCAAATATGACCCAGATTATGCCAGTGGTCATAAGATACTCTATACATTTGTCTTTTTCTAAATACAGAGTTTATGAGCAGCCATACAAAGGAAAAAAAATAAGTTCAATGAAATGCACAGTTATTTTACAGAGTCAGCATTGAAAAAATATTTTTTGGCAAGCGTGGGACTTCTAAGCAACTGTGATATGGTAGAAGTCCGCATCTAAATTAAATAGATAGGTCAAAATCTGATTTATATTTCCAATTGATCTCAGAAGGATTAGAGCATATTCAGTGCTTCCAGAATTGATTTCCTACTGTAGACACTGCCTAGCATGATAAATACCACATTTTCTCTGAGGCTTTTAACTGAATTCCAGTTTATGCACAAACCATAGAACTTCAGTTCCTGAGGTGCAATCAATCCTTCATTTTGGTCCTGTGTTAGGCAAACCATTAAACAAATTTTCACTTTAGGCTTTCCTGTAGTCATTGCAGCTATTGATGTTTTGTTATGTGTTTAAGTGCTCTCCTAATTGAAAGTCATACTAAGGTTCGTTGTTTTCCAAATTATTCTTGACAACAAGCACAAATGCACTGTGCTCAGACTGCTTTTTACTAGCTGCAGAGAAATGAAGAGCATCAGATTTCCTCTAAAGAAGTGGTTTCCAGATGTTTTTCAGTCAGTCCTTCTGCCACTTTCTCCTCTTTATCCTGCTTCCCACTAAGTGACCCCAGACCACTGCCCCTTTTCTCCTCTCTCATCCTGCCCACAAAATTCCTTGCAGCTTTCTCCTTGTGGCAGCATCAATTCCTGAATGAAGCATAAGCTAATAAACCCAGGATAATGGGGTTATCTCAATAACTTGTATTGTCATTACCCTTGTGTTGAATTGTGTCACTAGTGAGTAACAGGGGCTTTTGGTTCAAAGCTGAACCTTGCAGTTGGACCGTCTCTAATTTATGCTTTTCCACGCTCAAACTCAAGACTTGAGAAAAATTATTCTCACAGCCAAGCTCATTTCTGGTGGGCAGAAATGAATGTGACAGTCTGCTTTGTACATAAGACTTTTACTGAAATATCACACATTGTATATCACAACAGTTTAGTCCATGACAAACTATTCACCTTAAAGGGTGCAAATTTAGGGGAGGAACTGGGTTGATTTCATTGACGGTCGGTGTACTTGGGCTTAACTGTCTTATAATCAGAGATCCAATGCAGCTTGCTAGAGTTACAGGAAAATCAATCTCTGCTGTAGTTTTCACTGTAGTAAAAAGGACTTTTTTATTATTATTTATTTTTAACTTTACAAGGAGATGGGACTAAGGTGCTGTTTATTCCCAAACTGTTTCCTTAAACATAGGTACACAGGTGTCTATCCCTTCCTCTTCCTGAATCAAAGGACAGACAACCTTGAGACTGAGGTCACTTGCATGACCTTATTTTGTGCTTTTGAATGGAAACATTTTTCTTTTGCTTATATTTTGGACATGCAGCCAATACCACATTTCACAGAACAGTCAACAAGTTTTACACAGGACATTGCATAGCTTAAGGGTAAAAAAAATGTCATACAAGGTTCAGGAAAGGTCATATCTATTAATTAATGTATGTGTAGTTTGAAATCAGAAGATGGCCTTGCAGTTCACTGTTGCAAGTGTTTGATTAGTATTTATTCCTTTTTTAACAGCAAGTATCTTTCCCAAATATTGATTTAGCCAGGTAGAATGATGTGATGTCTCTGGAAACAGGAATCAGGAATTCAGTGAGTTGAAAGGCACTGGGAATGCTTCCTGATCTAAATTTCCTGAAATCACTGTCACAGAGTATATTATCTAATTGTAGCATAACTGCTGCCAAGTTATCCTTTAATTACACTACTAGCACTAAAGAAAGAGATCTGACCTTGTATATTCTGATGACACTTCATTACTCTTCTACTGTTCTTTTTTACCTGCAGGTATGATTCCTTCTGTATATTAAAATGGAGTGAATATCTTATTTAATTTTGCAGGCATTTATACACAAAAATCAAGTTGCATGAGTAGCTTTTGATACTCCTTGAATCAGTGCATCATTTTTCCATCCCATATCTCAAATTAACTTCACCTGAAGAAGGATGAAAAAAGCAAGTGGCCTGAAGTCTCCTTGGAATTAGAATTCCACGCCCCCACTCCTTCCCCCTCCAGCATATTATAGTGAATTTTCTGGGTAATCATTGACCAAATTCTGAGCTGAAATGAAAACAAATCAAATGTGTGCATGTTTCTTAAGTTTTACTGCAAATATTTTCCAGTTGCCTTGGTGGGCCAACATCATCTTGGGTTTAACTACACCAAAGAGAAGTTCTATGAAGGAACAAATTGACTTGTTAATTTTTAACAGAGTGCTAAAGGAAATTCTGATGGAATTTTGAAACCCCATCCCCTTTCTTTCAAAAATAAAAAAAAGATATGTATTTATACAGAAAGAATATTAAAGCGTCACCTAGCTAGTAAACTGAATATTGGTGTGACATTGGGCATATATGTGCTAGTATAGTCTTAAAGTGTTTGGAGAACGTATACATATTACTGAAGGTTTGTTGTTGTTGTTGTTTTGGCACTGTCACTTGATATCTGGATTGCAACAAACACTTCTTTTATTACTGACAAATAGAAAGCATGTGTTTGGCATTATTTATTGTTTTCTGCGGAGCATGTGTCAAGATCTGAAAGTGTGTGTTTCACTAGTCACGTACTTAGTTTAGATGTTATAATTAAGTTCCTAATATCTGGCATGGTAAGCAGTCAGCGGGATTTGATTTCACAGTTTAGGAGACTGACTTGACACCTCTGGAAGCTGAGGAGGAGACACTCAGCAGCACACTGAGATAAATACCATCACTTTCTTGATGTTTCAAACCACATTTTCCAAAGCAGTCTTTAATTCTCATCCTTCCATATCTGAGTGCAGGAACAGAAACTATCCATCAGTAACCTCACTTGGCTAGAACTGCATTTCAAGCACACAAAATTAGGGGAGTTTTTGGAAATATTTTTATGTATGTGCATTGCTATTGTTGCTAGGTTGTTTTGTGGTAGTTTTTGTTGTTCTTGCTGTTTGTTTTGTAAAGAATGTGAAAAAGATTTCAAAACTTTATACACTCTTTCCACCTGAAATGGTCATTTCAACATTTTTTCCTTCTGATTCTGAAATTCCTTGAAGGGCTGGAAAAACAAGAATTTGTATTCCATAGGAAATTTTCATAATTCAAAATTATTTCACCTTTGCATTGGAATGAAAACAAATTGTTTTGGAGTTGTGAAAAAATGTTTCTAAGTTTCATTGTTTCATTTTTCATTTCATTTCATTTCATTTCATATCATGCAAGTA